TGGTGATAGAGAAACACTATTACATCTCTATAGAACTTTGATAAGGTCTAAACTTGATTACGGCTGCTTCATTTATGGCTCAGCTCGTAAATCATACATTCAAGTCCTTGACACTATTCACAATCAGGGTCTTCGGTTGTGTCTTGGAGCATTTAGGACATCGCCAATTGAAAGTCTATATGTGGAAGCCAATGAACCCAGTCTTTGCTTAAGACGAATAAAACTGGCATTACAATATATCACTAAACTCTGCTCTCATCCTTCTAATCCAGCATTTAACAATATCTTCAATGCTCCATACCAGCATTTATATATAAGAAATCCAAACACAATCCCACCACTTGGAATTCGCATGCAATCCCATATCAAGGATGCTCATTTAAATCTCTCTGCCATTGCTGAATACAAAATCTCAGAAATGCCTCCTTGGCAATCGATACAACCTGCTGTTAATTTAGAATTAGCGAACCTGAAGAAGTCTGACACTAATCAATTATTTTATCAACAAGAATTTCATGAACTGAAGAACCGATATTCCTCTTATACAAGTATTTACACTGATGGTTCAAAAGATGATGAAAAGGTGTCTGCTGCAGCTGTTGCTAACAATTATACAGTGTCTATGCGTATAACTGACGGAAGTTCGATATTTACGGCAGAAGCTCAGGCTATATTATTAGCTTTGCAATATATTGAACAGTCTTCTAAAAGCAGTTTTCTCATATTATCTGATAGTTTGTCCTGTTTACAGGCCATCAAAAATCGAAAAGTGGATCATCCATTTTTAGCTGAAATTTTAAGGTGTCATCTCAATTTATCCGTAGCTGGAAAAGATATAATTTTTTGTTGGCTGCCCAGTCATGTTGGCATCAGTGGTAACTGTAAAGCAGATTCTTCGGCAAAAGCTGCTCTTAATAAACCAATTTCCAACACAAACTTCCCATATTCTGATCTAAAACCTTCCATCAGACAATATGTGAATGACCATTGGCAAAAAAGTTGGAATACCAAGACTATGAACAAACTTCATGCTATCAAACCACTGATTGGTGGTCACGCCCATTCTGGTTTATATCGTCATGATGAAGTTGTTTTGCAGCGGTGCCGCATTGGCCACAGTTATTGTACACATTCATTTTTATTGAAGGGTGAAGATCCACCTTTTTGTATACCTTGCCATAGCCCTCTTACTATGAAGCACATTCTGCTGGAATGTGTTGATTTTGCACTTGTCAGGCAACGTTTTTATGATAATGTTCGTACCTTATCTGAACTTTTTACCACAGTTTCTAATCACTTGATTTTAGCGTATTTAAAGGAAATCAAGCTCTATGATAAAATATAGATTTTTTACCTGAACAGTCAGTCTTTTACCTCTGAATGTGATATATGACTGAGATTTTAGTGATTTTCAACATCACTTTTATTCTATTGGTTGATATCTGATTACAAAAAAGACATTTCTCGCCGCGAATAGCTGCAAAATTGCTGATGCGGCGTTAAGCAATATTCACTCACTCACCTCATGTTCGTAAACCATGGTTTACCAATGAATGCAAACAACAAGGAAGAGTAGGAAGAAAGCAGAAACAGAATTCCGCAAACATCCTACAGTTCACAACCTAAATAATGTTCAATTTACTTGTGCCAAAGCACGACGGGCTTATAAACAAAATAAGCGTCAATCATGGAGGAATTTTGTCTCAAAAATTAACTCACGCACACCCATGTCAAAGATGTGGAACATGGTTAAAAAAATAAAAGGCAAAGGTTCCAAATCGTCTGTTAACCACCTCAAAGATGGTGACACATTAATAACTGATCAATCTGCCATTGCAAATAAACTTGGCGAAACTCTTGCCAAACATTCTTCATCAACAGATCATGTCCCTGAGTTTCAGAGACATCAGAAACAACAGGAAAATAAAAGGTTAATTTTGATTCCAGTGATGGTGAAGATTACAATGAAGTATTTTCATTGCATGAGCTGCATATTGCTCTTGAGCAAGCTCATGATACTGCAGCAGGGGATAATAATATTCACTATCAGTTATTAAAGCATTTGCCTGAATCATGTCTTGAGACACTTCTAGATATTCTTTACCAAATATGGACGTCGGGGAATTTTCCACCTTTGTGGTATGTTGCCATTGTAGTCCCCATACGAACACCTGGCCGGAATCACGCGGATCCTTCAAATAACCGCCCTATCTCTTTATCCAGTTGCGTTTGCAGAACTATGGAACGACTGGTGAACAATAGATTAGTTTGGTATCTGGAAAGTAATGATCTTACCAATATTCAATGTGGTTTCCGCAAAAATCGAAGTACTACTGATCATTTAGTACGATTGGAATCCTTTGTTAAAAATGCCATAGTTAATAAACAACACGTAGTATCCATTTTCTTTGATCTTGAGAAAGCATATGATGCTACCTGGAAGCATGGCATTATAAAGGACTTAAATGATTTGGGCTTGCGAGGTCGTTTACCTCATTTCATATCACAATTTTTATCTGACAGGCAATTTCAAGTCTGATCATTAAAATCAGGATCAGGGTGTCCCGCAAGGCAGTATTTTGTCTGTCACTTTATTTAGTATAAAAATAAATAGTCTTTCGAAGGTTATAAGTGATTCAGTCAGTGGATGGATCACTTTTCGTGGATGATTTTAATAAATCTCGTGGTAAAAATATGCGTGCAATGAGAGACAGTTACAAATCTGTCTAAAAATTCACAAGTGGTCTCTTCAAAACGGGTTTAAATTTTCTACATCAGAAAGTAACTGTATACACTTCGGCAGAAAATATAAGCCGCATAAAGACCCTGAATTATTTTTGAAGTTTAAAGGAGGCCAAATTCTTGGGACTCATCTTTGATAGCCATTTAACGTTCCTACCACATATTAAGGCACTTAAAGCAAGATGTCTGAAGGCACTCGAATTGTTGAAAGTTGTATCTAAATCAAAGTGGGGAGGAGATCAGACAACACTCTTACACTTATACAGGTCATTAACCTGTTCTTTAACTTGATTACTGCTCCATCGTTTATGGTGGAGCATGTAAAAGTAACTTACAAAAACTGGATACTGTCCATCACCAAGGCCTGAGAGCCTTTCGTACTTCTCCTATTCCAAGTCTCTCTGTTGAAGCGGATGAGCTTTCTCTTATACAATGCCATCTGGAATTATCTTTACAATACATCACTAAATTATATTCTAATCAGTCAAATCCACCTTTAATTGTGTGTTTAATCCTCTTTATGAAGATATTTACAATAAGAAATCATCTCTTGTTCCAACAGTTGGAATAAGAATTAAATCTGTCATTTCTGTTTCTGCTGCTAAGATTAAGTTTCATGATAAAGCTGCCATACAACTGTTTTCATGGCCTTCTTGGCAAATGGTAAGGCCAAATGTAGACCTCACATTAATGAGACTTAAGATATCTGATACTAATCCACTAATTTATAAACAAGAATACAATCAATTGCGAAACACATACGACACTTATAAATCTTTATTTACAGATGGATCCAAGGATGGTGGCGCAGTTGCTTTTTCCCATCACAAGGGATAAATATTTCAGTGTTAAAACAATTAAGGACCTTTTTAATGATGATAGTTCTCATTTAATATGTTTTTTAAAAGAAATTGAACTTATTCATAAATTTTGATGTATTTAGTGAATTATTTTATAAATTTGTAGTATATGATTATGAACTGAGACTGTTAGTGGTTGTACCCTTGATGGGGGTTGAAGCAGCGTAAAAATTATTGTCCCCCAGAGAGGGTGCGTAGTCAAAGTATTTAATATATACCAGGTTTTTAAACATAGAATATCTGTTTGTTTTAATTTTGGCTAAACTTCTCCATAATCACCAGCAACTGAAGGGATGGTGTTAATCCTGCCAGGGTCTATGCAGGTAGCAAAGGTACTATAAGTCCCCATGGTCCTCAGCATGGTGGTCTACCTTTAGGTTGCTGGTGATATATAGCCCAGTTTTACCTTGCATGGTATTGTATGAACAGTCAAGTTTTATTGTGATTTACTAGTTTTAAACCTACATCTGTGATAATCTAGTTCTTTTACTGTCCTTTGTCGACAGGTTTGTATTCTAAATTGATGTATTGTATAATTTGATGTAGTCACTATATGGCTGAAATATTACCGATGTGACTTTAAATATTAACTCACTCACTCATGTTTTAAGGGGTCATGAGACAGGCATCTTGCTCCATGACTACAAACAGTATCGCCTTGGCGGAGTAAGTCAAAAGCTCCTTCTCTGCGGGGGTGGTCGGGTAGCCTAGTGGTTAAAGCGTTCTCTCGTCACGCTGAAGACCCGGGTTCGAATCCCGACATGGGTACAATGCGTGAAGCCCAATTCTGGTGTCCCCCGCCGTGATTTTGCTGGAATATTGCTAAAAGCGGCGTAAAACCATACTTACTCACTCACTCCTTCTCTGAGCCATGTATTAAGCCGTCATGAGACAGGCATCTTGCTCCATGACTACAAACAGTATCTCCTTGGCGGACTAAGTCACAAGCTCCTTCTCTGCGTGATGTTTTTAAGCCGTCATGAGACAGGCATCTTGCTCCATGACTACAGACAGTATCTCCTTGGTGGACGAAGTCACAAGCTCCTTCTCTGCGTGATGTTTTTAAGCCGTCATGAGACAGGCATCTTGCTCCATGACTACAGACAGTATCTCCTTGGTAGACGAAGTCACAAGCTCCTTCTCTGCGTGATGTTTTAAGCCGTCATGAGACAGGCATCTTGCTCCATGACTACAAACAGTATCTCCTTGGTGGAACACCACATATGATCAGCTCTTTGCGCTGATAACAACACAGTAAATAACTGATTGGTGCTCACCTTTGACCATTGGTTTGTCTCACCAAGGCTCAAGAAAAGTAAAAAACTTAAGGCACATAATCACCATTATCTGTCCAACAGAGCACATGGTTTTGGTAAGGTAAAAACAAGAACAACAGACTCATGTTTGTATATTTTTAATTTACACAACAGTATAAATAACCTGCCACTGTACATGGATGTGTGAGCACTTTAGCACTGGATGGAAGCGTCTCTCTTTAGAGGCAGCGTTCTAGGTAGCTACATACAGCAGAGGGTGGCCATTACATACACCAAGGGGAAACAACTCTGAATGAAGGTAAGGGGAGTTAACTCCAATCACTCACACAACTCTTGGTCCCACCTTCCTTATAATGAATGTCCCCAGATGTGACTTTCCAAATTCGCCTTCGACTTAATAGAAGACACATCTCTAACAAGCAAGTATATAATTCCTTCCTGACATGATGAAGTTGTTGTTTGGCTTCGGAAACAAAGTCACGACAACATCAACTGTTATTGACAAGTAGATATCAGCAGGAGTTGCCAAGTTTGTGCAGTAAATCTCTACCTCTGCTGTATGCAGGAAACTGACAGCAAGCCGAGAAGCTGGCAGTAGACATATACACTTCATGCAAATAAAATACACTTCATCCTTCTCATCTCTTGATTGTCGTCCCAGAGTTTGACTGGAATCCTTTTTAAACACATGAAGTTCAGATCCACAATCAAATTAATAAAACTGACAATTGAAATATCGTTAACTAAATAATTTTCAAGAAAATTGTGACCATTAACGTAAATATAAGTACAGTATCGTATTTCAGTCAGTGAAAGTCTCAACATAAATCTTCATGGGACACTGAACTCTCTCCTCCCCTAACATAAAGCATGGATGTGATTGGCTGTACAGAAGCAAGGGAGGCTATCATACACAATGCTGTACAGCAGGATGGAGGGGGCTGAACACTGACAGATAGCTATATATGTATATGTATGTACAGTACCCTGTGTCGAGATATGATGAATTCATTGTTTGACAACCTGAAGTCAAGCAATACCCATAGGGGAACCTAGGACTGGATTCCTGTGACATTTATGATAACTCCTTTGTCCGAATGATCATGAAAGTAAAAAGAGTCATTGATCAATGACAAACATGAAAAGAATCCTAACGATTTCAATTTTGATTCATGATCAGAAAACAAAATTTGTCTTACGCTTGTAAGTTGTTATCAAAGGAACCAAAATCTTTTTAACCCAACAAGGAGTGTTCCCCAAGACTAAACTACCATATATGGACATAGCTGGTCATAGGGGCTTTGTCCAAAGTTGGCACACAATTTCGGAATCCTCAAGACAAAATGTTCTTTTTCACAAAGGAACAAACTCCATCTTGGCAATAACTCCTATCATCAGGAGTCAGCACAAACCTGGCCTTTCAACAACTTGCAGGCCCTTCTCTTACTTTTGTAGACACTGGCAATACACAAAGGCCAGGTTTGAAGACTGTCAGGGTCGCGCATGCTTACTAAAAGGGAAAATGAAGCTGTGATGAAAAGTCAAACTACAATGCCATGAGAACTTTTGACATACCCCCTAAAAATAAAACACTGAGTGCACCTGATCCAGAGATCCCTCTCAGAACAGCTGCATGATGTCCGGTACCTCTGTGAACTCCTAGAAATGTTAACATTATATATTATTAACACAAGGACAACCCTCCCTGAAATACAGTTTAGACAGGGTGGATGATCTCTGCTGCCCTATCCCCTGTCACATCCACAGTTACACTGTTTAATGCATGCACGATGCATGAGGCCACACCTCTTGGTTTACATTTGATGAAATCATAATCATTCAAATTCACACAGACACCTGAATATACAGTTCTTTTGAACCAGATTGTAAAGAGACTTCTTATTTCTTTCCGACACTCTGTCCATCCCTCATGAAAAGCTGCAAACCAAGGTATAAGAAATATGTGGCTTAACCAGATTGATCTTGAATTTCTTCTTGATACAGTTGTGTCCTACGACCAACCTGACCCACAGGGTTAAACAAATTCAAGATGGAGTTGATATAATGCATCATGCTAGTGACTAATTTGGCACACACAATTAATTAGGGACTGATGAGGAGAGGACTAAAATGGTTACACAGAATGATGCAGATACAGACAAAACAACATGTCCGCTGTTCCTCCTGGTGGTTCTTGTGGCTGATGGAGTCTGCAGTCACTTCACCGCCACACAGCTGTGCTATAAGGCAAAGGGGTCTTCTCTTCATCAATGTACCATCATCCATGTTACTGATGCAGGGGCATCTCGCAGCCCAATAATGTCTTAATTAAGTATACTCATGTCAACACATCAACTATATCAGTACATTCTTTGCAGTATCTCATCATGTTAACACTTCAGTATCATAGTAGCAAACTTAAGTACAGTCATCTTGCATTATTAAATCCAACAAAAACAATTTGACATATTTTAAAAATCACAATGCCCAGGTTTTTCTTTCTCAATGCATGGATATGAGATAACATGACGAAGTGAGCAGATTCTCACAGTATGTGAGCTGAAACATGGTGAACTTTGTGAACACAATTAAAAATATCAAGCCTTGCAAAATAACAGATTTAGCATCAAATGAGTATCGGCACATGTTCCCAAGTCTGATCAACTCTACAGCAGAACCATTTCTTAAATTCAATCTTAGCCTGAAAGAAATAAAACGTGTGATGATTCTCATCTTCTGGTTCGGGCAAGCCCATTTTGTTGTGTATGTATATTTTGACAAAACCCCGGACACTGGACTGACAGTGACACAGGCAGGAATAAGACACAGGAGCTGCTTTACTCTGGACTTAAACAATATCAGACTTGCATGAAAATATATTTGATTAGATTGGCTTACAATAAGCCCCGAATAACCTGCTCATTCCTGATTTGATCAGTCGAACAGAATCTTAAGACAGCCTCCAACAAACAAATGAACAACAACTGGTGACTTCCATAACAATGTCTACCAAAGGCGACTTCAAGAATAAATATGTCCTGTTACAGTTTAAGTCCAAAGTGGGTCTCATCATGTGTTTCTATGGTTCGCGTTTCTTTTTGCGGTGAGTATAGGTTTGTTAAACCTAATAACCTAATAAACAAGCACCTTTAAAATGAAGAACTCGGGGAACAAAAGTGTAACACTGCAATAAGTGAATAACAACACTGGGATTGTGGAGAATACAGAATGTGTGACACCGAACACAGATGGAAAAACAAACATGTGTCCTTTGTGCTTCCCTCAGAAGGTTGGATCCATGGTAAAGCAATCACTACCAGATTTCACAACAGAAATAGTAACACAGCACTTTCAGCAGTGAGAAAGATTTGCATAGCAGACCTGGGTTATCTTGTGTTGCATAATTCACTAGTCAGTGGCCAATGATGAGAGAAGAGGTCACAGTATATAAAAGTGTCTACCGTCAGAAGATATTCACTAGTCAGTTGCCCATGATGAGAGAAGTCACGGTGTATAAAACTGTCTACCGTAAGAAGACATTCACTAGTCCAGTTGCCCATGATGAGAGAAGACGTCACAGTATATAAACGTGTCTACTGTCAGAAGACATTCACATGGTGGTTCCTGTACAGGGAATGTGCACTTTGAAAATGTGCATCAGTTTTCTGTTCAATGATCAGCGTGTCTTGCGAGATTTACACCTCTCACAGTTCAGCGAAAATCATAACTTGGGCACAACCACTTTTGCTATCTGTGCAATATGTGCACATGTACCTTTGTAAGTACTTATTAACAAAAGTTATAACGAGATTCTATGGTAAATTCTTCACAAAACATAGGTTTCGAACAAAATAATTAAAATGGATTATCTTGCCTCCAAGGACAAACATACAGCCCAGATGTTAACAAAGAGTTAAATTCTCTGTTTTTCATACAAAAATAACAGAGAACTAACAAGATATGAAACTACATGATTTGTTCATTTAAAAAAGATTTCATAAACATGTTTTTAGAGTTCAGAGACTGAAGAACTGAACATGACGGTACCTAAGGCCACACATTTTTTTTATTTTTCGTTTCACTGGCCCCGTCTATCCTAACTAAAAAACAGCCGGTCCAAGAAATAAATTAAACATAAAAATATTTATTTTTATTATGTCTCCCACTAGTAATATAGACCCTCTTATATAATATATAATGTACTCCATAAATCCCATGTATACATCACTATCAGTGATTCATGAGGCCACCTGGAAATCCACAGCAGAATGATTTTCTTAAAGTAAATAAATAATTGAAATAGCTATTTATTTTTATTTTGTCCAACCTTGGGTGGCAAAGCTGGAATAAATCCGAGAAACATAAGATTAAAAACGTGTGGCCTAACAGTGCATTAGGAAAGTTGATCAATATACTGAGTTATCTCCCCTGCCTACTTTCCCGACCCCTACCAGTGTGTAAGGGGTGTGAGTATGTTCAAGCAGCTATATTTGATTGTCAGCTAAACACAGCAACACCCAGAAGCTGGGGCCCTGTAGGGGTTTTGTTGCAACACCCTAACAGGTCCTCACAACTACTTTTGTCTATTATGTACACTCTATGGTATAATACACAGATTGCTGTGACCAAACAGGAGGCTATCATACAGGGGTATAACACACATATCTCCTGGCAAATGTCCACATGGGACTTTCTTGTTTCCCCATTGTTGAAACCATACCATGTCCAACAGCATGTTACCCAAAACATGTGTGTTTATTTCCTGCATTACCTCAACGGTAAAATTAAAACATTGTAACTAATGATACAATCTGTGTATGGAGTCTTCCCCAAATGGTATTATGTTGAGAAATTACGGGATGAAAACACTGTGCTCTTTGTCCCTTACTGGACACAAATCCTCAGGGTCAGGGTGACATGCATCCTGGGAATTGTTCTCAGTGTTCCTGGATCATGAGTCAATGTTGCACGCAGAACAATTGCCATTCAAACTCATGAACAACGTACTTGTTCAATGTCTTCAAAGGTTCCATGAGAGTCTATTATCTCTTGAAATGAGCACATCAGGTCCAACACACAATCTGGACATGAAATGCCCCACGTTGTTTACAAAGACCTAAGCTTTCAGTAATTCCATTTCTCCAGGAAAGCACAAGCGTCAGTCGTCCTATATTCCGTGAAGAAACACTTCCAGGTCGTCTGGAGGTGCCATCTCCGAGTTGACTTTCTTAACAATCCTCACTCCCACACCATGACTCAGAACCAACTCCGCTGGTGCATCTGACAACACATCAAGTTCTATTGCAGACAAACATGTAAGTACTCACTACTCGGTGAAACATCAATTTCCACCTACGACTCCTGGCCATACTGGTTAAGTTTCAAGTTGAATCAGTGCTTTGCCCACAGACTTGGTCTGTGTGATGACTCTCTCTGCCCACTCTACTATAGCTATGCTTGCATCTGTCCGTTAAAGCACTTAACACATACATAATGTAGATGGCCAGTCTTAGCACACCTTGATCGCTCTGCTCATTCATTGACTTCTGGAACTCTGAAGACGGTCAGTGACTCTTGTGAGGATGGGGAGTAAAGTCCTGCACGTGCTGTCCCTCTGCGTGGTGAGGGCTGCCACCAATCTGACTGGTACATCTCTAGCATCTGCTCCACACTGCTGTATGGTGAGGTGACTCCAACAAATATGCCAATATCCTATTAATGGCACTCAACCTTCACCAAGTCAGATCAAGCTGACCATGTCATCCCATTTCAATCTGTACTCAGATGTAGTCCACTCGAGGTGGTATCCCATCACAATAGCCACTTAAATCTGCAAGTCTTCATTCCGTTGTCATGAAACAGACCACAAAATATTCCTACCAGGTTTCGGCATAGTCCAATCTCTGTTAGTAAGAAAACTGGTGAGAGCTTGAGTCTAAATCTGCCTATCACTATGGTAACATCAATGTGGTGACCTTGACCTTCATCATATGAATCTGCCGAGTGCTGTGTAGAAATCTTGTAAACACACAAGGAGCTGGGTGAACTTTGGCCTCTCGTCAGGTGACATCGCCCAGCAACAAGCCATGACAGCAAACCTGCAGAGAGAGAGAGAGTGAGTGAGTGATTATAGAACAGAAGTAATGTTAACTATTCCAACACCACAGGCTGGTACACCAACCAAGACGTCATGAGTCCCCAGACACAACAGGCTGGTACACCCGCCCAGACGCCATGAGTCCCCAGACACGACAGGCTGGTACACCAACCAAGACGCCATGAGTCCCCAGACACGACAGGCTGGTACACCAACCAAGACGCCATGAGTCCCAAGACACGACAGGCTGGTACACCCCCCCAGACGCCATGAGTCCCAAGATACCACAGGCCGGTACACCAACCAAGACGCCATGAGTCCCCAGACACCACAGGCCGGTACACCAACCAAGACGCCATGAGTGCCTAGATACCACAGGCAGGTACACCAACCAAGACGCCATGAGTGCCTAGATACCACAGGCAGGTACACCAACCAAGACGTCATGTGTCCCCAGACACCACAGGCCAGTACACCAACCAAGACGCCATGAGTCCCCAGACACCACAGGCCGGTACACCAACCAAGACGTCATGAGTCCCCAGACACAACAGGCCGGTACACCAACCAAGACGCCATGAGTCCCCAGACACCACAGGCCAGTACACCAACCAAGACGTCATGTGTCCCCAGACACCACAGGCCAGTACACCAACCAAGACGTCATGAGTGCCTAGGTACCACAGGCCGGTACACCAACCAAGACGCCATGAGTCCCCAGACACCACAGGCTGGTACACCAACCAAGACGTCATGTGTCCCCAGACACCACAGGCCGGTACACCAACCAAGACGCCATGAGTCCCCAGACACCACAGGCTGGTACACCAACCAAGACGTCATGAGTCCCCAGACACCACAGGCTGGTACACCAACCAAGACGCCGTGAGTCCCCAGACACCACAGGCCGGTACACCAACCAAGACGCCATGAGTCCCCAGACACCACAGGCAGGTACACCAACCAAGACGCCGTGAGTCCCCAGACACCACAGGCCGGTACACCAACCAAGACGCCATGAGTCCCCAGACACCCCAGGCCGGTACACCAACCAAGCTGCATGTGTCCCCAGACACCGCAAGCAGGTACACCAACCAAGACGTCCTGAGTCCCCAGACACCGCAAGCAGGTACACCAACCAAGACGCCATGAGTCCCAAGACACCACAGGCCGGTACACCAACCAAGACGTCCTGAGTCCCCAGACACCACAGGCTGGTACACCAACCAAGACGTCATGTGTCCCCAGACACCACAGGCCGGTACACCAACCAAGACGCCATGAGTCCCCAGACACCACAGGCTGGTACACCAACCAAGACGTCATGAGTCCCCAGACACCACAGGCTGGTACACCAACCAAGACGCCGTGAGTCCCCAGACACCACAGGCCGGTACACCAACCAAGACGCCATGAGTCCCCAGACACCACAGGCCCGTACACCAACCAAGACGTCATGAGTCCCCAGACACCGCAAGCCGGTACACCAACCAAGACGTCATGTGTCCCCAGACACCACAGGCCGGTACACCAACCAAGACGCCATGAGTCCCCAGACACCACAGGCTGGTACACCAACCAAGACGTCATGAGTCCCCAGACACCACAGGCTGGTACACCAACCAAGACGCCGTGAGTCCCCAGACACCACAGGCCGGTACACCAACCAAGACGCCATGAGTCCCCAGACACCACAGGCCCGTACACCAACCAAGACGTCATGAGTCCCCAGACACCGCAAGCCGGTACACCAACCAAGACGTCATGAGTCCCCAGACACCGCAAGCCGGTACATCAGCCAAGACATGAGTCCCCAGACACCACAGGCTGGTACACCAACCAAGACGTCATGAGTCCCCAGACACCACAGGCTGGTACACCAACCAAGACGCCGTGAGTCCCCAGACACCACAGGCCGGTACACCAACCAAGACATCATGTGTCCCCAGACACCACAGGCCAGTACACCAACCAAGACGTCATGAGTGCCTAGATACCACAGGCCGGTACACCAACCAAGACGCCATGAGTCCCCAGACACCACAGGCAGGTACACCAACCAAGACGCCGTGAGTCCCCAGACACCACAGGCCGGTACACCAACCAAGACGCCATGAGTCCCCAGACACCCCAGGCCGGTACACCAACCAAGCTGCATGTGTCCCCAGACACCGCAAGCAGGTACACCAACCAAGACGTCCTGAGTCCCCAGACACCACAGGCTGGTACACCAACCAAGACGTCATGTGTCCCCAGACACCACAGGCCGGTACACCAACCAAGACGCCATGAGTCCCCAGACACCACAGGCTGGTACACCAACCAAGACGTCATGAGTCCCCAGACACCACAGGCTGGTACACCAACCAAGACGCCGTGAGTCCCCAGACACCACAGGCCGGTACACCAACCAAGACGCCATGAGTCCCCAGACACCACAGGCCCGTACACCAACCAAGACGTCATGAGTCCCCAGACACCGCAAGCCGGTACACCAACCAAGACGTCATGAGTCCCCAGACACCGCAAGCCGGTACATCAGCCAAGACATGAGTCCCCAGACACCGCAGGCTGGTACACCAACCAAGACGTCATGTGTCCCCAGACACTGCAAGCCGGTACACTGGCCAGGCCGTAGTCACATCCAAATAGTATAGAATTTTATTAACCTGCTTGTCATTGAAAAAAGCACTTCTCGGACACATGCTTCGACAACAGGTCCATATAGATTATGTCAAAGAGCAAAATACAGACGTTAAAGGAAAGCAAATCCATAAATAAATTACACAAAGTAATAAAAAAAATATATAAAAATATATAAATTGTCAAACTTATATCTAAGTTATTATTTCTGTTTGATGTAAGTCAAACCATGATGACCTCTCGATTTCTATCCAGACAAACTTACCGACTTGACAGTTGTGAGGCCGGCTGTCAAGTAGCCACCCTTCAGATATGTGGCCATTTCTAAGAGGTACATTGAGATACTTACAGTTCATCAGGACAGTTGTGGGGCTGTGCTATCCGGTAGCCTTCCTGTAGATAGGCAGCCATCTCAAATGGATCAATGTCTGCGTAGGGCTGCTGTCCCAAGGTCATCATCTCCCACAAGGTCACCCCGAATGCCCACTGAAACAAAGCCATGGACATTTGAAACAGGGTCATGGACATTTGAAACAGATCCATGGACATTTCAATGACACAAATATTTGAAACAGTTGATGATGTCAATTTGACAAATTAGGTGTGGAACATCTGATCTTAATATCAGTGAAACATCAGGTCCACATCATGATGTTGGTGTCTGAAATGAGTGCCTCAGAATGGCACATTGGTGTATTGACAAAGCAGAATTCGCAGTTATCTCCCTTTCATCGTTCAAGAAAGTAGATTTTGTATAAAAAAATTGCTGCTGTTCCTTTGGCCTGTGTCCAGCAGAAATAGCAACGGGCTTACAATTATGCATAGTCAGTCACCTGGTGGGCCTGTGAATATCCTGTACTCAGACACATACATCAACAGTAGTCGAGTAATGTGCCAACAATAATTGCTGGAATTAACAACAGATATTTCATTTGTTCTGATGGTCTTGTTGACAGGTGAGTTATTTTGGAGGCTGGTCCTGCTACATAGTCACATCTCCATGGTAACCTACATCTCCATGGTAACCTACATCTCCATGGTAACCTACATCTCGATAGTAAAATGACACATCAACACGGTAACCTACCACATCACCACGGTAACCTACCACATCGCTGGCTGGCGAGAACCTCCTCTCCAACAGCGCCTCCACGGCCAGCCACTTGACGGGGCGGTTCTCGTTGTCTCCCAGACATGTGTAGTCACTGGGGAACACATCCCGTGACAGGGAGTTGTCCGTCAGCTTCACAACAAAGTCATTGTCCACACTGGAAAACAACAGATTCTACACATGTCACGATTGTTTACTAACAGAAATATCTCAAATATATTTTATAGCAACAACAGTTTGTCTATGTAACCAACCTGATAGATTGAAGCATGAACATAACCGTCTATACCATCATGATATAACATTCATACCCTCATATCATAATGTCACTACAATAATCTTGTCAATACCATCATGATATAACATTCAAACCATCATCTCATGATGCCAATACTGTCATATAACATATATACCATCATTCATAAAGTCAATACCATCATGATATAACATTCATACCCTCATGTTACAATGTCAATAGTGTTATATATCATATACACCATCATTTAAAAGTCAATACCATCATCAACACAATCACATTATAACATCATCAAAAAGGCACATTATCAATACAAAGGCACTATAACATCATACACCACATCATAACATCAACAAAGATGTGTTATAACATCACACAATCAAGTGACAACATAAATACGATGGTGATCTGCCCAGACGATGCTCCTTCATCTTCTCTATCAGGGAAGAAACACATCTTGGGACTGACACAGATGTTCTAACTGAGGAGGTAAGGAGTTCTCCCAGATACTTACACACAATTCCTTGTGGCTATATCTTTGTGAATTATTTTTTTCCGATGTAAGTACTGTATGCCGCGTATGATTTGTATGGCCATATATACAAGCTGCTGTGTTGAAAGTGTCTGAAACAGAGAAAGATGAGTTGAAATCTGCAAACTATCTCCTAAAACCAGGAAGTGAATGCTGTTTTGTGTTGCCCATGATTGAGGCTACCAGTGATTTATTTTACAATTCAGCCCCCAGTCCGAAGCCCGAGTCAAGCAAACTATTGTTTGGTCTGGTATACACCAGGAGACAATACCATGCCAGCAGTGTTTGACACAGATTGATATCGTACCTCCATGTAAGAATGGTGAGATCTGATTGGTTCATATGTTACGAAAAGGAACATACCCCGACTGGGAGGGAAATAAATTTCTAAGCAGGAGAATAAATCCCTTATACCCCGCCACAAAGAAAATAGGCTGTTTTTGGATTTAACCTCTTGCCCCCTTCTATGAAGCAAAATCCTGCATGTTATTTATGAGTCAATAAACCATAGCTAAATCAAACAGGTGTTTTCTATCAATTTCAATTTATCATAATTCTTTTACAATGGCGGATTGAAATATGATGAATTCATTGTGGCAGTATCACTTGGGGTATATGTGGTTTTATAACCATAAAACCACTTGTACCCCGAGTGATGCTGCTACAACCAATTAATCTTACCGACATGTAATAATATGACATTGTTAAAGAATTAAAACAAATTCCAAGTTGATAGAAAACAGCTGTTCGATTGAGCTGAGGGTAACTTGTGCTAAGTCACGTGACTTACATTAACTCGGGGGTAAAGCGTGCAGGTATTTGCTTCGAAGCAGGGTACAGGGGATTTATTTTACTCTCAGAAATCCACATGCAGCCTGTCTTGTTCATGATGGGGTATAAGGGATTTATTCTCCTACTGAGAAATTTATTTCCCTCCAAGACGGGATACATAGTATTTTGTCAAGTAGATGTGGACCAATCAGATCTTATCATTCTGCCATGGAGGTATGATAAGTGGTTTTATGTGTCGCTCACTATGTTGTATACCACTCATGTCTGACTCGCTATATATTGACTAACACGAAATACATTAAAGCACTTATACCCGAGTGATGCTGCTACAACTTATCATAATATACGTCATAGGACAGAGAACCAACAAGTTGTACTCACATAGCGTGACCCACACTCCGACATCCGACACTTGAGGAGGAACTTTTTCAGATTGCCCTCGTTAGAGTAGGGGTAAATCATAAAGGGCTGAATCTCCCCATCCACACACGCCCCGACGACAGGGTTGATGTTCTGGTGGATCAAGCCCTTCAGCATACAGCTCTCAGTGAGGAACACCTGCAACTGGTCACCTCGCGCCTGATCTGAACAACATACAATGTGCAACAGTGAGCATCTCAAAGTGAGGGCACATACCTGTTAATGCTTTTATATTAACACGCTGCATCTCAAAATGTTGACACGTACCTGTTAATGTGTTTATATAAACACACTGCATCTCAAAGCATTGGCACATACCTGTTTATGTTTCTATATAAACATGCTGCATCTCAAAATGTTGACACGTACCTGTTAATGTTTTTATATAAACACGCTGCATCTTAAAGTGAGGGCACGTACCTGTTAATGTTTTTATATAAACCTCTTGTTCCATGCTGACCTCATTCTCATCTTCGCCGATTAATGTCCCCAAGTAGATACGTCCGAAAGTACCTAGAACCATATCACACGTCACATGTAAATACATCATATATCACAAGTCATATGTAAATACATCAATATCACACATCATATGTAAATACATCATATATCACACATCACATGTAAATATATCATATATCACACATCACATGTAAATATATCATATATCACACATCACATGTAAATATATCATATATCACACATCACATGTAAATATATCATATATCACACAGCACATGTAAATACATCATATATCACACATCACATGTAAATATATCATATATCACACATCACATGTAAATACATCATATATCACACATCACATGTAAATATATCATATATCACACAGCACATGTAAATACATCATATATCACACATGACATGTAAATATATCATATATCACACATCACATGTAAATACATCATATATCACACATCACATGTAAATATATCATATATCACACATCACATGTAAATACATCATATATCACACATCACATGTAAATATATCATATATCACACAGCACATGTAAATACATCATATATCACACATCACATGTAAATATATCATATATCACACATCACATGTAAATACATCATATATCACACATCACATGTAAATATATCATATATCACACATCACATGTAAATACATCATATATCACACAGCACATGTAAATACATCATATATCACACATCACATGTAAATATATCATATATCACACAGCACATGTAAATACATCATATATCACACATCACATGTAAATATATCATATATCACACATCACATGTAAATACATCATATATCACACATCACATGTAAATATATCATATATCACACAGCACATGTAAATACATCATATATCACACATCACATGTAAATATATCATATATCACACATCACATGTAAATACATCATATATCACACATCACATGTAAATATATCATATATCACACAGCACATGTAAATACATCATATATCACACATCACATGTAAATATATCATATATCACACATCACATGTAAATACATCATATATCACACATCACATGTAAATATATCATATATCACACAACACATGTAAATACATCATATATCACACATCACATGTAAATATATCATATATCACACATCACATGTAAATACATCATATATCACACATCACATGTAAATATATCATATATCACACATCACATGTAAATACATCATATATCACACATCACATGTAAATATATCATATATCACACAGCACATGTAAATATATCATACATCACACGTCACATGTAAATACACCATACATCACACGTCACATGTAAATACATCTTATATCATACATCACATGTAAATACATCATATATCATACATCATATGTGAACATAACACATATCCTTTGAAAATATATGAGGAACATTATTTAAGGGAACCCATAAGAATGAAATAACCAGCTTTGTTGCACAAGATACAGTTACTGAATGCAGATAGCAAACACTCTCAAACTTTGCACATTGTACACGTAAACCATCCGTTGATTGTTTCACATCCAGGTTACTGGCATCTGCCAACAAACGTCACAACCTTGTGGTTCATTGATCAGGTACAATGACGGAAAATGCCTCCAAAAGTGTACAGACAGAAAATGGAAAATTTCGTACAGCAGGCATGATTGAAGCTGCCAGACATTTTAGTAAAGCTAAAAGTATGGTTTCCCATCTCATTGAACTATAGTGACACAGGGCAGAGGTAAGATTAGGGCCGCAAGAAGAAGGCCTAGAAAGACTAATTCCAGGCAGGATCATGCACCATTACATGGAGGAACACATGAACTGTGGGGACAACTTCAGGGCTGCCACACGAATCAAACTTTCAATGTCAACGATACACAACAGTTTGAAAACTGCGGGTCGGAAATCAACGGATGTCATATTGCTGGTGTATTGCTGATAGAGCTCATGGCCATATATCATAAATCATATGCAGATATATCATATACAAGCTTTGACAAATTCTCTTTCACAATAATAACTTCAAAGTCACATCTATCCACCCCCTGGAGGATGGAGGACACATCTATCCAGCAAGGAGGGACAAAGGTCACATCTATCCACACCATGGAGGACTAAGTCAAATCTATCCACCCCATGGAGGACAGAGGTCACATCTATCCAGCCATGGAGGACAGAGGTCACATCTATCCAGCCATGGAGGACAAAAGTCACATCTAACCACTTCCTGTAGGACTGTGGTCACATCTATTTACCCCCTGGAGGACAGAGGTCACATCTATCCACCCTGTGGGAGACTGAGGTCACATCTATCCACCCTGTGGAGGACAGAAGTCACATCTATCCACCCTGTGGGAGACTGAGGTCACATCTATCGACCCCATGGAGGACTGAGTGAGTTAAGTGAGTGAGTGAAAAATTAACATCGCATCGGCATTATTTCAGCCATATAGCGATGAGACCAAGTTAATATGTTTACAATTGAGTCATTTATGTAAAGTTATATTTAAAAACAATTCAAGAACCATATTTGAGCATAACAATATGATGTATACGGTTATAAAACACGGGGCTTTAGGCCACCAGTAACCAAAGCTAGGCCACCTCGCTGGGGATCATTGGGACTTACAGTACCTCGGCTTCCTGCATGATACCCCATCAGGATTTACATCATCACTTTAGCCACTGGTGGTTGTGCACTAAGCTAGCCAATATTAAAAAAAACTCAGCAATGAGTTGGCTTAAAAACACTGGTTGATGATAGTTACATCGATTATGAAAAACAAGCATTTAATGATTCACAAAATTTATTATACAGACCAATTTCTTTCAAGTAATTTATGATGAGATGGCCACTGACAAGGGAAAAGAGATCTTTCAGATTTACTCTTTGATAATGTGAATCCCTTGCAATTGCAAATTCCAAACAGTCAAGCAATATATGCTTGAAGGTGAACCCTGCATCACAAGGCATACACCTGGACTGATGTCACATCGTACCCTGGTACCCCCTCTCAACAGCATGGCCTAGAGAGTGATCGTGGGAACGAATGTGCAGCCTACATATAATCGAGTCTGGACCAGGAAAAACAGTGACTGAAAACAGGAGAAAAGATCCACACCAATCGGGTGCAATGACAAGAAATCCACAAGTCACAGAGCCTGTCCAAACTGAGTCGCATCTTACGACCAACAATGGGTTGCTGGGAGACTATCCAGCCTTCAAGTCCACGGGGACCTTCAAGCCTTCAAGTCCACGGAGACCTTTCAGCCTTCAAGTCCACGGAGACCTTCCAGCCTTCAAGCCCACCAGGACCTTCCAGCCTTCAAGTCCACGGGGACCTTCCAGCCTTCAAGTCCACGGGGACCTTCCAGTCTTCAAGTCCACGGGGACCTTCAAGCCTTCAAGTCCACGGGGACCTTCCAGCCTTCAAGTCCACGGGGACCTTCAAGCCTTCAAGTCCACGGGGACCTTCCAGCCTTCAAGTCCACCAGGACCTTCCAGCCTTCAAGTCCACGGGGACCTTCAAGCCTTCAAGTCCACGGGGACCTTCAAGCCTTCAAGTCCACGGGGACCTTCCAGCCTTCAAGTCCACGGAGACCTTCCAGCCTTCAAGTCCACGGAGACCTTCCAGCCTTCAAGTCCACGGGGACCTTCCAGCCTTCAAGTCCATGGAGACCTTCCAGCCTTCAAGTCCACGGAGACCTTCCAGCCTTCAAGTCCACGGAGACCTTCCAGCCTTCAAGCCCACCAGGACCTTCCAGCCTTCAAGTCCACGGGGACCTTCCAGCCTTCAAGTCCATGGGGACATTCCAGCCTTCAAGTCCATGGAGACCTTCCAGCCTTCAAGTCCACGGAGACCTTCCAGCCTTCAAGTCGAAGGAGACCTTCCAGCCTTCAAGCCCACCAGGACCTTCCAGCCTTCAAGTCCACAGGGACCTTCCAGCCTTCAAGTCCAAGGAGACCTTCCAGCCTTCAAGCCCACCAGGACCTTCCAGCCTTCAAGTCCACAGGGACCTTCCAGCCTTCAAGTCCACAGGGACCTTCCAGCCTTCAAGTCCACGGGGACCTTCCAGGTTATCTAATGCAAGTGAGTGAGTGAGTGAATATGGTTGTGCCCATGTTGGTATTCAAACCCTGGCCTTCAGCATGACGAGCTTTAACCACTACACTACCCCACTGCCCCTAATGCTATAATACAGTAGCATGGACAATAGATTCACCCTATTCAAATCATCACAGCTTCTGTCTTAATAGTCGCTTCTGACTGACCTTCCATGAGAAGATCTCCTAACGCTATCCTCTTCCTCTCGACAGCAATCTCACTGAGCATGGACTTGATGTCTGTGGGCTTCAACTCCGTCACAGGAGATATACCTCGTCTGAAGTTGGGCAGACCTGCAACAAACAAACAGTCTGTGAAGAAGGAGGGTATGTTGAGGCAGTATACAGATCCCTGCGAAAACCTCTTCTGATGTGTCTGTGAACTCCTCAAGACAACCAACAAAACACATCTCTTTTCAAAACACGTCAAAAAGTCAAAATATGACTTTGTCTTTTGTATGTCTTTGTCTTTTCTATGTATGAAAACACGGATACATTTCTTTAACTTCAATTGAAACGTTCTAACACACTAATCAGAATACATAACTCACAAAGAAACAGAAAGCATGTTATGATTGTGGGCACAAAATGTTGTCAGATTGTTCCTGACATGTAAAGTTGTCACATTGTTCCTGACATGTAAAGTTGTCACATTGTTCCTGACATGTAGAGTTGTCATATTGTTCCTGACATGTAGAGTTGTCATATTGTTCCTGACATGTAAAGTTGTCACATTGTTCCTGACATGTAAAGTTGTCATATTGTTCCAGACATGTAAAGTTGTCACATTGTTCCTGACATGTAAAGTTGTCACATTGTTCCTGACATGTAGAGTTGTCATATTGTTCCTGACAAGTAAAGTTGTCATGTTCCAGACATGTAAAGTTGTCATATTGTTCCTGACATGTAAAGTTGTCACATTGTTCCTGACAAGTAAAGTTGTCATATTGTTCCAGACAAGTAAAGTTGTCACATTGTTCCTGACATGTAAAGTTGTCACATTGTTCCTGACAAGTAAAGTTGTCATATTGTTCCAGACAAGTAAAGTTGTCACATTGTTCCTGACATGTAAAGTTGTCACATTGTTCCTGACATGTAAAGTTGTCACATTGTTCCAGACATGTAAAGTTGTCACATTGTTCCAGACATGTAAAGTTGTCATATTGTTCCTGACATGTAAAGTTGTCATATTGTTCCTGACATGTAAAGTTGTCACATTGTTCCTGACATGTAGAGTTGTCACATTGTTCCAGACAAGTAAAGTTGTCATATTGTTCCTGACATGTAGAGTTGTCACATTGTTCCTGACATGTAAAGTTGTCATATTGTTCCTGACATGTAAAGTTGTCATATTGTTCCTGACATGTAAAGTTGTCATATTGTTCCTGACATGTAAAGCTGTCACATTGTTCCTGACATGTCAAGTTGTCACATTGTTCCAGGCATGTAAAGTTGTCATATTGTTCCAGACAAGTAAAGTTGTCATATTGTTCCTGACATGTAAAGCTGTCACATTGTTCCTGACATGTAAAGTTGTCACATTGTTCCAGGCATGTAAAGTTGTCATATTGTTCCAGACAAGTAAAGTTGTCATATTGTTCCTGACATGTAAAGTTGTCATCTTGTTCCAGACAAGTAAAGTTGTCATATTGTTCCTGACATGTAAAGTGTCATGTTGTTCCTGACATGTAAAGTTGTCATGTTACAGACATGTAAAGTTGTCATATTGTTCCTGACATGTGAAGTTGTCACATTGTTCCTGACATGTAAAGTTGTCATATTGTTCCTGACATGTAAAGCTGTTCCTTCAGAGAGGGACTAAAATATGAGAAATTGTCAAGAACATGGAAAGAAAATTTGTAAATGATTGACGAGAAAATGCAAAATTTAGAGAAAAGACTTTTGGTCTTCAGGGACCCTGACAATACATTAAAATATTAAGGAACATATTTCCCTTGAGTACGCATTTCCATTTCAAATTTCCACATTTCTCAACAAATGAAAGTCCAGTGAGCGCAATAAGTATAATTCCACTTTCACAGAAGTCTCATCTATCAGTCGACAAACTTTCAGCCAATCCCTTCTGCAAGTAACAGCAAAATTGATTTAATGATAGATTACGCTGTAATTTCCCCATGTAAAATTCAACATGCCTTCTATCGTTTCTGGATGGAAATAACCCTTTCATGACGAATGTCGACATTTCCTAATCTAAAATTCACTGACAATATCATCATTGGAAAAAAACTGAAACCTATATTCAAATGTTAAAAAGTTGATTTTCTCCCACAGACGCTGAGGTGTTGGGTGGGAAGGTAGGTGCGAGCCATGCCCTGTGGAACTCAAGCATGATGAAAGGTCTATAGGACTAGAACTGGAATCTGAAAATAATCCCACGTCATTATTTATTTATATCTCTGAACATGTATTCCTTCTTGGCCGCTGCACAACATTTTCAGAATAATTAAATTGTAAATCTCCCATGATACTTGGAAGACCTCAACATATAGGGCTTTCAAACAGCTGTAACCCAATAATCCCTGGCATCCAAGTACGTTACATGGGGACGCTTCTTATTATTTTTATGGTTCCATGAAGCTGTTTGGCTGTGATAGATTTGGTCTGCAGTGGGACAAAAATGAATCTTTGATGATTAATTAAGTCAGGAATTATCGAGTACCATTGTTGCATGTGAGACGCATGTCACAGAAAAACATCGGAGTTTTGAAATACAATTAAAAACAGAGAGATTTTATTTCAGAGCTCACAGATTCTGCCAAGGAGGTGTGACTTTTGTATTTGTTATTAAAACAAAATTTCTGTAACATTCTGTCTGAATATTATACCATTTGCAGAAAGTTTGAGGAAATCAAAAGAGCTGAGGGACCATTCCACTGAAGAGCAATAAATGGGTACCCGGAAGGATATAGAGGTCAGTTGTGATACCCCACAGATCAAGTCTCAAGGGGGACACAGTTCCTCCCCAAGTGTATGTTCTCATCTACACTGTTCCTGCCTATCAACCTGTGTACTGGGTACCCGGAAGGATATAGAGGTCAGTTGTGATACCCTACAGATCAAGTCTCAAGGGGGACACAGTTCCTCCCCAAGTGTATGTTCCCATCTACACTGTTCCTGCCTATCAACCTGTGTACTGGGTACCCGGAAGGATAAAGAAGCCAGTTGTGATACCCCACAGATCAAGTCTCAAGGGGGACAAACACAGTTCCTCCCCAAGTTTATGTTCCCATCTACACTGTTCCTGCCTATCAACCTGTGTACTGGGTACCCGGAAGGATAAAGAAGCCAGTTGTGATACCCCGCAGATCAAGTCTCAAGGGGGACACAGTTCCTCCCCAAGTGTATGTTTCCATCTACACTGTTCCTGCCTATCAACCTGTGTACTGGGTACCCGGAAGGATATAGAGGGCAGTTGTGATACCCCACAGATCAAGTCTCAAGGGGGACACAGTTCCTCCCCAAGTGTATGTTCCCATCTACACTGTTCCTGCCTATCAACCTGTGTACTGGGTACCCGGAAGGATAAAGAAGCCAGTTGTGATACCCCGCAGATCAAGTCTCAAGGGGGACACAGTTCCTCCCCAAGTGTATGTTCCCATCTACACTGTTCCTGCCTATCAACCTGTGTACTGGGTACCCGGAAGGATATAGAGGGCAGTTGTGATACCCCACAGATCAAGTCTCAAGGGGGACACAGTTCCTCCCCAAGTGTATGTCCTCATCTACACTGTTCCTGCCTATCAACCTGTGTACTGGGTACCCGGAAGGATAAAGAAGCCAGTTGTGATACCCCACAGATCAAGTCTCAAGGGGGACAAACACAGTTCCTCCCCAAGTGTATGTTCTCATCTACACTGTTCCTGCCTATCAACCTGTGTACTGGGTACCCGGAAGGATAAAGAAGCCAGTTGTGATACCCTACAGATCAAGTCTCAAGGGGGACACAGTTCCTCCCCAAGTGTATGTTCCCATCTACACTGTTCCTGCCTATCAACCTGTGTACTGGGTACCCGGAAGGATAAAGAAGCCAGTTGTGATACCCCACAGATCAAGTCTCAAGGGGGACAAACACAGTTCCTCCCCAAGTGTATGTTCTCATCTACACTGTTCCTGCCTATCAACCTGTGTACTGGGTACCCGGAAGGATATAGAGGGAATGTGGGACAGCCTCACTCATCGACAGTCCAGTGTTTGTCACAACAGATATTGCAAGTATTCTGTGAAGAGGCTGACAAAATAAATTAGAATAAACAAATTAGAAAAATTAATTAGAATAAACAAATTAGTTTAAACAAATTAGAATAAACACCAGCATTACTATCCATCTTATCATATTAAATCAACACCAAAACCAAAAAAGACTTAAAAATCTAACTGCCATGTATGAAATCTTAAGGGTTTCTGCAAGGTTCCTGACTGTCTTTCCCAGCTTAATGCTTTTCTCTGGTCAGAACTTGTGTGGACTTAAATTGAAGCAGTTACTTGACTTGGCACACTGAAGTGAGTGAGTGAGTGAGTGAGTGAGTATGATTTTGCACCACTTTTAGCAATATTCCAGCAATATCACAGCGGGGACACCAGCAATGGGCTTCACACATCGTACCCATGTGGGGAATTGAACCAGGGTCAATGGCTACTCCATCGGCCCTGGGACGCTAAAAACAATATCTCTAAATGAAGCTGGCTACCCACAGAAACTCCATACCGTCTCAGAAACAGAAGAGCCACCTCTCTCAGGGCATGACCAAACATATGGCAAAATCATTTCTCCATAAGTTCTTGTAAACGAAATCCATTTGTGCCCTAGTTTTGTTGGAAAATGATATTTGTAAAGGCATTCTCAAAACGACATTTGTGCTGTGACACCTCTCCTACACCGCCACTATTAAACTATCAAAACGTCAATTGTTTGTTCTGCGGCAAACCAACTGAATCCAGCACAGTGCAAATAAATTCCTGGTGTGACATATCCTGATTCAGAACTCCGAGACACCTTTTTCCTCGTTTGTCACCCCTGTGAGGAGTTGAGGCAAGGCAGGTAACTCAAACACCAGACAAACGACAATGTTGGGGAGTGTCGTGACCCCATGTCAGTTGACATCATGTGATGTGTCATGTGACCTTACCTGCCCCACTTGCATTGTTTGGTGTGTCGGGGCGGAGAAACGTCTGACTTTGGGCAGTGAGAGCTTGAGAGCTGCTGCTGTCACTGTTAGAAGAAAACAGAAGATATTAGTCACCAAAACTCATCACACAATCTATATGCATGAATCACAAAGACAATGTTCAAGAATTAATTTCACAATTATGAGTTTGAGTTGACACACAATGAAAATGATACAACATTTTATCAATATGTCATTTGGCATAAAACAAGTAATATACCGTATACATGTGAAATAAGAACAGGTATCACAGTTTACACAAAACACATGTTAGTGTTGTTAGTAGTGAGCAGACCCTCTCCCCAAACCAGTTACCAAATGCTATGTTTATTAATTCCCCTATCTATAACTAAACTTCAATAGCATCACACCATTTTTCAAATAATTTTATAAAATTGTTTGAAGTACGGATGATCAAACCGTAGGGGGAGGGGAGAGACAAAGGTTAAAAGTAGGGGTGACTATTGATCACTATTGCAATAACTATTGATATTGAACGAAACTATGGCGAGAACTATTGATATTGCAAGCAACTATTGCGATAAATATCGATAGTTTTCAGTATATAAATTTAGATGGATTTTAGAGTTGAATTAAACCTTGAAACTGAAGTTTCCTTTGAATGTGATAACCATAACAACAAATAAAAACTGAAGTTTGAGATATGACTGATTTGTTTTTAGTAGTATATCTTTATCCTAATAATTTAAGAAAAAGAAACTTCTACATTACCATGTGTAAATTACTACCACTCATGATCAAAAGAAAAACAAATTCGTACAGCATTGCATGCATTTTATTGATATGGTAAATACAATCGAAACTATCACTATTCCTAACTGAAATCGCTACTATTGATCGGAAGCTGATTTAACAATCGATTTATTGACTCTAAGTGCTTACAAATAGCAATATATCAATATTTCGATTTATCGTGACACCCCTAGTTAAAAGACATAACATTATTAATAAATCTTAATTTGCCACAAATTTGAATTCACTCTCTACCTATGAGATTGTTTCACTATCAATCCAGAAATTTGATTGGGTTCTGTCTCGTCTTACTGCAACATGAGATTGTTTGACTTGATTCTGTCTATGATCAATTTATGTAGCATAGGCGGATCCATGTATGTACCACAGGCAGATCCATGTATGTACCACAGGCAGATCCATGTATGTACCACAAGCAGACCCATGTATGTACCACAGGCAGATCCATGTATGTACCACAGGCAGATCCATGTATGTACCACAGGCAGATCCATGTATGTACCACAGGCAGATCCATGTCTGTACCACAGGCAGATCCATTTGTGTACCACAGGCAGATCCATGTATGTACCACAGGCAGATCCATGTATGTACAACAGGCAGATCCATGTGTCTACCACAGGCAGATCCATGTATGTACCACAAGCAGATCCATGTATGTACCACAGGCAGATCCATGTATGTACCCCAGGCAGATCCATGGTGTACCACAGGCAGATCCATGTGTGTACCACAGGCAGATCCATGTATGTACCACAGACAGATCCATGTGTGTACCACAGGCAGATCCATGTATGTACCACAAGCAGATCCATGTATGTACCACAGGCAGATCCATGTATGTACCACAGGCAGATCCATGGTGTACCACAGGCAGATCCATGTGTGTACCACAGGCAGATCCATGTATGTACCACAGACAGATCCATGTGTGTACCACAGGCAGATCCATGTATGTACCACAGGCAGATCCATGTATGTACAACAGGCAGATCCATGTATGTACCACAGGCAGATCCATGTATGTACCACAGGCAGATCCATGTATGTACCACAAGCAGACCCATGTATGTACCACAAGCAGATCCATGTATGTACCACAGGCAGATCCATGTATGTACAACAGGCAGATCCATGTATGTACCACAGGCAGATCCATGTATGTACAACAGGCAGATCCATGTATGTACCACAGGCAGATCCATGTATGTACCACAGGCAGATCCATGTATGTACCACAGGCAGATCCAGGGAGTAAGTTGGAGGGAGTAAACTATCTGAGAGAATGTTTGGGACCCCTCCCTTTTAATAACACTGGATCCGCATCTGTGTAGTTAAAACACAGACAACTGAATCATGGTCCAATACTAGCAATGAATTCAACTCAATTAACTCATCTTGGCTGAGGCAGTGGTTAAGCGTAACCCCTGCTACATCAAACTGTCTACCAGACAACTCCTTTTGTTTCAGGATGTTTAAGACCATTTCACAATTCAGATTAAACTCTCTGAGATCTGAGTGAAATAAATCCAATTGGAGATGTTTACAAACTGAGCTGATAAAACCTTAAGTTTTTTGCAAATATATGTCAAAAGTAGAAGCTGAAGGTTTGGTCAAATCAAACTATTCCGTACTCCATTGTTCATAGTTCCTCATCATGTCTTAGAGTGAGTAAGTGAGTGAGTTGGGTTTAACGCCGCTTTTAACAGTATTCCAGTCATATCAGGGCGTGTCAGCTTAATGTGGGAGGAAAGCCCGAAGTGATGCAGGTCTCAGACGTTTACCTCTTCGGTGAAACCCACGAGCACGGGTATGGTTCTGACAAACCTAGAAACATAATCAGGGCGAACCGGGATTCGAACCCACAATCATAGGTTTCTGGCGTGCCCATGGGACGCAACTCTGCACAGCGAAACTCGCGGCGCCTTAGACGACTGGGCCACCTGTGCCCCCTCGTCATGTCTGTGTCACACCAGCAGAAGATTCTGTGTCACACCAGCAGAAAGTTGCTGACATATAAGTGTCATTGGTCAATAGCAGTGTTTGTAAGCACTGAACAGTGTTTGGGAAAAAAAAGGTTAAAGACTAGCATACAAGTAGTAACCATGGCTTCACTGTCTGCCATATTTCAATTTTTGAGCAATAAGTTCTCACGTCCTGTCCATGCTTGTGTCCATCCCAATTATTCAGTTCAATAACAAACATCTCTTTCCTTCCTGACAATGTATATCTGTTTATCCTATAGCATAACAGTTCTGATTCCTGTATATTGTAGCTAGTCTTGTGTACGTATCACCATGACAACCAATGCTTCCGATGAGAGAGTGTTAGTGTAGCATGCCACTCAAGTCAACACATCAATGAAATGTTAGCTTTGCAGGGATTTCTTGTAATTAAACCTTTTTAGAATATTTTCTCCATGAATTTCTAAACACTGAATGACGTTTAATTACAACACTGGCATTCTCTTCAAAAATTATTGCCATGCTTGTCATGAAGCATTAAGAAATGTGACAATTACTTTAATATTGGAATTGAAACCTGGAAGGCTTAAACATGTCATTACCATAGTAATGGGCATGCATGACAAATAGCACGTCTTTAAAAAATGTAATTCATTTTTTGTTCATGAAGGAATTGAAATGACATGCAAATTAGACATGATTTTTCGAAAATTTGATTGGATTTTCTTTACTTTTCTCAAACTATGTTGATTACAAATTTCCTTTTTTCAAGATTTGAATTTGAAACGATGCCAGGGGTTAAAAAAACAAACAAAGGAAAACAGATTCAACAATAATGTTGTTGTTTCTTTTCAGCCAAACATTTGTTATATTTGAAATGAAACTTGAATATTGAAAAGAAAATTCAATTTTGTTTTTCTTTCTCTTAAAAGTGTTTCTATCAATTTTCGATTGGAGGTTTTAATGAGAGGAAATCCCCGCAGCAGGACTACTTACAAATGATGCTCCGCCAGACGGGGAGTGTTAGTAATGACGCAATCATGACGTGACATCACAGACACAAACACGCACCCATCAGAATTTTACTTACTAATAGTTCATCCTTTTAGTGTACCTGTCATTGCTCTTCTGTGAATTAAGGTAGTAAACTGCCACCGCTAACGCAATCAGGAGAATAATTGCACACGCACATCCCACAGCTATGTAGAAAATATGTGTCGATGTCGTCAGGCTGCCAACTCGATCCTCTGAAAAGACAATCAAACCGTCTGTCAAGAAGGGAAAAGTAGAACATGGCTATGAAAATCTGCAGAACCGCGTCTCATTGCTGGGATCTGAACAACCACTGCTTTGATCAAGTGTGCTTGTCCTGAAGGATTGAACAGTTAATCAGCTCCATCTTGTGAAGAATTTACATGAGAGGAATCTAAACATCATGCATTCAGGTCGCTCTCTTCATTTGAAAAACAGGGGTGTTAAAGGGAGACAACTCCTCACCTGCTTCCACATAGTCCTCTTCACCCTGAGTAAACGGGTAGTCTCGGACATAGGCGCCATCGGTCACTGGAAGTAGAAGATGGAACTGAAATACTCATGTCACACACTCAAACAACTGGTGAGCCTGACCATCAACCCAAGCTAAAGACTAACATTTAGTCTCTGAAATCTTATATTACACAAAATCCTTCTTGACTCTAAAAATATAAAAAAATTCCCTATGCTGTGGAATAGAGCTAGCTTGAGCTGGCTAGACTTGCTTTTGTATGCGTTTCTAGATTTATTTATTTTTCATAAAATAAATATATTCCACAGCCATGGTGCAGGACTACCCAAGCTACCACACTGTACAATACACCAACACAACAGCCACAGTGTGCTTTCAGACTCGTGACTTTCAAACATGGCCAACACAGAAGATGGTATCCAGACTAATCAGCTTATTTCTAGCCTCTCACACACACCCTGAAACAAAAATACTGCAAAATTCCTAAACAGGTCTACAATGCCTTGGCAAGTCTTGATTTCGGAAACTGAAACTTAAGAAAATATAGATTCTTCTTTCTATTATACTTAAATTCAAATTAACAACAAAAATAGCTCAGAGAGTACCAGTAAATTTTATTCCAGGCCACATCTTGTTCAAAAACAAAGTCCCATCAAACACGGAACTCCAGCTAGTACCTACAGTGTCTCCATCTATAGATATATTTGTTTTGTTCGGGCACAGGTCATGCAGCAGGGAAACACACTTGTAAAGGATGAACATCAAACTCATCAGCATGTTTAACATAAAATTTCCATCACAAAGGATGGATGACAAACATAATGAGCAATTCCATCAGAGAAAGCTGACAATTGAAAATGGATGTTTCGTCCACTTTAACGTCAGTGTGGGTCTCTGCGTCCATAACTCTTTCAGCCTGATTATGCATATAGTGTAAGCGTGGTGTCCTTCAGTACAGAATGAACCAGGAGCCATATTCAAATATAAAATTCCCTCAAGCCAGCATCAATCAATTAAATTCCTATTGAATTTAAGCATGTGGAAAATCGGTGTTTCTGCTGCTTGAACTGAAACAGATTTTTCAAATTGTGAAATATTGATTACTGGTTCTTTTTAAAAGCTTTATGGTCGAGTAGAAAAAAAATCAATCTACAAACATAACCAAGCATTCAGAATCCTAAACACCAAGTGACTTCCCCACTATCTGATGCCTAGTGTCGGGTATACTCCATAAACACCCAGTGACTTCCCCACTATCTGATGCCTAGTGTTGGGTATACTCCATAAACACCAAGTGACTTCCCCACTATCTGATGCCTAGTGTCGGGTATACTCCATAAACACCCAGTGACTTCCCCACTATCTGATGCCTAGTGTTGGGTATACTCCATAAACAACCAGTGACTTCCCCACTATCTGATGCCTAGTGTCGGGTATACTCCATAAACACCCAGTGACTTCCCCACTATCTGATGCCTAGTGTTGGGTATACTCCATAAACAACCAGTGACTTCCCCACTATCTGATGCCTAGTGTCGGGTATACTCCATAAACACCAAGTGACTTCCCCACTATCTGATGCCTAGTGTCGGGTATACTCCATAAACACCCAGTGACTTCCCCACTATCTGAGGCCTAGTGTCGGGTATACTCCATAAACACCCAGCGACTTCCCCACTATCTGATGCCTAGTGTCGGGTATACTCCATAAACACCAAGTGACTTCTCCACTATCTGATGCCTAGTGTTGGGTATACTCCATAAACAACCAGTGACTTCCCCACTATCTGATGCCTAGTGTCGGGTATACTCCATAAACACCCAGTGACTTCCCCACTATCTGAGGCCTAGTGTTGGGTATACTCCATAAACAACCAGTGACTTCCCCACTATCTGATGCCTAGTGTCGGGTATACTCCATAAACACCAAGTGACTTCCCCACTATCTGATGCCTAGTGTCGGGTATACTCCATAAACACCCAGTGACTTCCCCACTATCTGAGGCCTAGTGTCGGGTATACTCCATAAACACCCAGCGACTTCCCCACTATCTGATGCCTAGTGTCGGGTATACTCCATAAACACCAAGTGACTTCTCCACTATCTGATGCCTAGTGTCGGGTATACTCCATAAACACCCAGTGACTTCCCCACTATCTGATGCCTAGTGTCGGGTATACTCCATAAACACCAAGTGACTTCTCCACTATCTGATGCCTAGTGTCGGGTATACTCCATAAACACCCAGTGACTTCCCCACTATCTGATGCCTAGTGTCGGGTATACTCCATAAACACCCAGTGACTTCCCCACTATCTGATGCCTAGTGTCGGGTATACTCCATAAGCCCCCAGTGACTTCCCCACTATCTGATGCCTAGTTTCGGGAATACTCCACGTGGAACTCCCAGGTGCACAGACGAGGAGATCTTCTCCTTCTTCACAGCATATGCTTATCCCAACAAGAGTATGACTTCAGTTATTTCCAAACAGAGCTCCCAGTTTTACTCTACATTCACATGTCTCATGACAGACAGGATATTGCTGACCACCACCTCATGGTGTGCTGCTTGCTGTGGGCAGCTTCATTGCCATCTGACCACCACCTCAGGGTGTGCTGCTTGCTGTGGGTAGTTTCGTTACATTATTGCAGCATTTCTTTTAAGCCATTCGATGTCCATGAAGAATTTCCTTGCTTAAACTCTGGCATCTCATTGATCAAGTTGGCAATGAGGGCTTCAGTGTGACTGTTATAAGTACCCTGTTACAAGGACCGAACACTGTCACACCATCTAGTGCTGGCTTTACAGGACCTGTACAAATCTGCAAATCAGGTCAGATCAGAGTGCTGCTTTCTACATTATGCAGGTACAGTTCACTTCTACCCTGTTTCTGTGGCAACATCCAGATGAAGGATCCATTCAAGTTCTTAGTCCTCCTGTCACAGCAGACATGGAGCACTGAGAACAAGTTCTTCCCCACAGCCACTGCAGGTAATACTGTTTTTCCCGAAATTAATTAAAGCAATATTAAAAGGAATTTTGAATAAAATTAATGAAATAAGTTACAAACATAAGTCCAGATATACAAAAAACACTTTTTATAGCCAGACAGTGTAATTACATGATTATTTTGCATACATCAGTATGGATTTGTTGACATATTTCCGGTGTTACATGCTCATGGTAATGTCTTTCTGTTAGGGGAAAAAAACCCATCAAAACTCATTATTGCGTGTATAATGCACACACCCTTCTACACAGCTGTATTTTATGGAAAAAAAAGTGTGCACTATACTCAAGAAAATACAGATTATTCTATTTAATCACAAAGGAAACAAGACATCCTTCTAACTCAAACAGTATGCTTTTCTTTATTGTCATCTAATATCATCGTTGACCATTTCCACTAATAAATACCAGAGCAAGCTTGGATTGTGTCCAGTCTGGCTAATACAATAAACCAATATTGCTTCAGCTTGTAATATGCTTAAACATTCTGCCTTTGTGCATTACTGAAGTATGCAAATGTGAGACCACATGCTCGGGTTAATGCGTAATTAAGACTTTTACAGATGCTTTCAGATAATCTTGATGTACGTTATTCATGAGATGCCAAGATTAAAATGTAATTAAAATTGTGAAATGAAATATGAAAATATCTGTAGCGGATTTTTGATTAGGGGGGGGGAGAGACATATTTCCACACTGAATCATGGCGGATCCATGTTTGTCTAGACATTTAAGGCAAGCTTTAATTCTACTTCATCTGATGGGATAATTAAGATATTATCAATATTGATAGCAGGAGGCCTGCTGGAGCTGTCGTGATGGCCACCCATTACCCACAGTCTTTAACTCCAGATGAAACCTTTCGTCACTTTCAATTTTATTCAATATCGGCTGATTCAAGACAAAGAAACCGGACTTCACACTTTTTCTTCTAAATTTATGCAAAATTTTAAAGCTGGCATGTCATTTTCCTAAAATTAATAAATTACAAAACATCTGAATGACAAACATTATGCAATGCACAATGCTGTGAATATTACGAAACATGATCCGTAAGCTAAATCGCTAAAGCTCTGTATCCATAAAACACAACATTTAAACCATTTCAACATAATTAGGACTCCCACGGGCAGTTATCTTCAGCCCACATCAGACCAGCAGGGGGTGTGACAGGTGAGCTAAAAACTACAAACTTTCTCCCCCACATCAGACAAGCAGGGGGTGTGACAGGTGAGCTAAAAACTACAAACTTTCTCCCCCACATCAGACAAGCAGGGGGTGTGACAGGTGAGCTAAAAACTACAAACTTTCTCCCCCACATCAGACAAGCAGGGGGTGTGACAGGTGAGCTAAAAACTACAAACTTTCTCCCCCACATCAGACAAGCAGGGGGTGTGACAGGTGAGCTAAAAACTACAAACTTTCTCCCCCACATCAGACAAGCAGGGGGTGTGACAGGTGAGCTAAAAACTACAAACTTTCTCCCCCACATCAGACAAGCAGGGGGTGTGACAGGTGAGCTAAAAACTACAAACTTTCTCCCCCACATCAGACAAGCAGGGGGTGTGACAGGTGAGCTAAAAACTACAAACTTTCTCCCCCACCTCAGACAAGCAGGGGGTGTGACAGGTGAGCTAAAAACTACAAACTTTCTCCCCCACATCAGACAAGCAGGGGGTGTGACAGGTGAGCTAAAAACTACAAACTTTCTCCCCCACATCAGACAAGCAGGGGGCTTGATGGGTGAGCTAAAAAACTACAAACTTTCTCCCAAAATCAGACAAGCAGTGGGCTTGATGGGGGAGCTAAAAACTACAAACTTTCTCCCCCAAATCAAGACAACCAGGGGGCGTGACAGGTGAGCTAAAAATTTGAAACTTTGTCAAACACATCAGACAAGCAAGGGGCTTGATGGGTAAGCTAAAAACTAAAAACTTTCTCCCAAAATCAGACCAGCAGGGGGCGTGACAGGTGAGCTAAAAACTACAAACTTTCTCCCCCACATCAGACAAGCAAGGGGCTTGATGGGTAAGCTAAAAACTACAAAC